CGCTCGTTTGTCCTCCGTGATACGGTCTGTGCCGAGGAGCGACCGGCTATTCTTGCTGAGTGATTTCAACTCGCACGTTGGGCGTGATTCCGCAGTGTGGACAGACGTAATCGATCTTTATGGTGTTGACCCAGCCAACGGGGACAGAGATATACTGCTCCCACTATGTGCCACTCACGGCCTGGCGATCACGTACACCCGACTTGCACTGGGTGCGAGGGATGTATCTACTTGGACACATCACGGAGTGGCCAAGCTCACCCGCTAGATAAAATAATCCTACGTCAGCGTGAATTGCACATGGCACGTGTACTGCGTGGAGCTGAGTGTAATACTGATCACAAGTTGATGCGGACCAAAATGTAACTATGTTTTCGTAAATCTGTTTATTGTTGCCTGCCTTGGATACGTGGCGCAAATTTAATATTCGTTCCATAGGTTCTGTTGGGAGGAGAAAGGAACTGGATAATCCCATGGCTACCCGCGTGGGCGATGTAAAGTCTATTGTCTCAGCGAACGACCTATGGCATCATATTCGTGAACAGGTTACGTATGCTGCCGAGGAAACCATCGGACTCGCAAAGTGTAAGCGGCCCCATTGGTTTGATAACAATAGTGCGACCAATGGCGCATTGTTATCTACGAAGAATGCAGCTTACAATGCACATGTGGCGGACTGTGCTAACTGCAAGAAAGATGGAGTTTCGCAAACTTCGACTACGGTTAACTCGAAAGTTCTTGAATGCATGGTGGACGGAGTAGGCGAAGCAGATGCGATGCTACACAGAACGCCGCCAACATTAGGAATTCTTTGATTCCAAAAGGCGGTGTATGGACCAACGTTACAGCTGAGGACGCTGGTGAATGCCAACTCTGGTGCTGCTTGCACACATACGGCAGACACAATGCAGACTTTGCGCAAGCACTTCGATTATATCTTGAATAACCGTTTCGAGATTGACTAGGCAATGTTGCACAGACTTCAACAACCACACTAGCAGCAGCAACAACTACCAGAGATGTAGATGTATCTTATCGATACCAAAACTTCATAAGACACCGAAGGCACTCCCTCAGCTGCGAAACGGCAAGTGCACCGGTTCGGATAGGATACCGCCTGGTGTCGTCAGATTGACGACACGTAGACTTAGGGATTCCTTTCCGCGATTCTTCCCCGCTGATTGATCCCTATTCTTATTGTGGTTATCAGTGCCACTTGTGCATCATCTGGTTAGGTTAGTTGACAATATTTCAAACTCAAGTTGGCCATCTTATTTACGGTTTTGTAGCACCTTACATGCTAACTAACGGAGGTGAACACTATCTCGACGTGTTATCTGGGTTGCGTTGGTGAATCGGGCTGAAAACGGTTGTGCACTCTGCGTGTCTCCAAGCAATCCTTATCTGCTACCTTGCTCGGCCGTTGCTTCTCTTTCGCTGTTGTACTAAGGAAAAAGTTTACTACCAATTTCCGAAGAGATCCGTGAAGTGGAATAGAAGTTTTCTGACCTAGCTGATGAATATTTTCCACTGTGGTCTTGAGAACACCAACATAGCAATCGAGCCGGTTTTCGTTTTTTCTTAACAGTTTGAATGCAGTGCGCTTGAAGATTTCAGAATAGGTTACGTGGGAGAATATCGTCCATTGGTTTAACCGGCCAAGTCTGGAATATCCTAATACTCAACGATCGAATTCCGTCGTGAAAGTGTGATAAATGCACACGTTCCGGACGGAGGAGAGTGACGTACCGCTCTCAACGTGTACGATCGTACAAAGCATTAGGATCCCCAGCTTGCTTCGCAACGGTTGGCGCTAGATGAATAGGTTGGTGTCTTTACGGATTGCTTTTCAAATGAGTCGCAACAGCCTTTGTGGCCAATATGATTCGACACTTGGCCTTCCTCTATAAAACTTCCGGAACAAATTTGTACATGCGATACGCCTTAGCTACTGCTAGTGTGCGCCTCGTTTCAGCCAGCTTTATGGCTGTCCCCGTCGAATAGGTTTTATCTCGTTGGTTTCCAATGCCCTTCGGATGGGGCATTCTTGTGCATCGTATTGCGCTGTCTACGTTTCTCATCCCGCAGGAGCAACTTATTTGATATCTACAGAATGATGCTACATCCACAGGCAGCTTTCTCCTCTACTGAATGCTGAAAATTGGGAGCTAGAAGATATGTATGTTGCACGCACGCGGAATAACGTCATTTATTACCGCGGCGTGGAGATAATGAATGGTATATTTTGTAGTACATATAATATGCCCTACTCGCGCAAATCGTGACATAGTGAGCCAGAACTTGTTAACTTCGTCTATGCAAGCGGCTGCGTGCCATATTACTTTATTTGGGCCGTGGGATGAACTCCATCGCTGTTCGATGAATCATCGGACACGCACGGTTTGGAGGTTAGTGGCCTTCTTTCCCTTCGTCTTTTACACACGACCGTTAATTCTTTCAATTGATCATCTGGTTTATTTTTCCCTATTGTTTCACTTATAACCATCACTACGGCTTGACTCAGGAAACCGTAGTCCACTCTTCTGATGGTCGGTTCATAGTTGTTGGCCGCAACTAAACTTGAACCTTTATGTCACATGAAGCTATCAAATGACAAACGTATTATGTAGACCCCTCTCAGCTATTCGTCCGGTATCAACATTACACCAGTAATTTGCCGTCGTGCATCCGCGAACTATAGTGCACAGACTGTGATACTGCAGGGACGTGCAGCTCTAGGCAGGCACAGAGCTTCGAGGCTACTTCTCAAGATATTTGCTTGCCCACATTAGCACCGTTTCCATTCGTTTTTATTAGGTGGTTTGAAAAAGCCTTGAGTAGTGCCCCGATTGAGGCCAACGAGTGCGATCACCAGTGCAAACGGGCTCCACGACGCTTCACATTATTACCTGCTAGATTTGTCTAGCAACATGATATTGGAGGATACATCTCAATGTAATGGGATAGGTTTATTTATTAGCAGAATTCCGTACTTAGCGCAACCACATGGGTGGAAAAAGATCAATGAACCTGTTCTAAACATCCATCGGTGTATTTTTTCTATATCTTGCATTCGGGTATCATTGGCTTCATTTGACGCTGACAATACTCCAATGACAATCAGGATGGAACTGATATTTGTTTAACCTGACTTAAGGTAAGAGTAATAAAATGACAATGCCATGGTCATCATCCACATACTAGTGCCTCCGAAGTTTAACTACGGCAGTGGACCGCGATGGCAAGAATGCACGTCAGTTTGCCGTCCTTTGGTGACCCTTCGTTGGCGACGGAAGGACATGCTATGCTCCAACGTGATATTTTAGTATCTTGGTGTACTTCTTTCACTTTTCATCTTGCTTCTGAACCAGAGACATTTCTTTTTTGAACGATCGATTTTCTTAGCTAACTAGACCAGCCCCTCATCCATATCTTCGCACTTCAAGTACTGCATCCTTCCCCGAAATTCTTCATCTGTGTTTCAAACAATTGTTTCCATTTTTACAAGTTTCTATGCACATGGTTCGCGTCCAATTGGTTTGCGCGTTTTTCACCATAAGAACGACGGCTTCTGACTCATCTCTGGCATAGGGTCACGAGAACCAGTTGATCTCGCCTCTCAATTACAGCCCTTCATCGTTTGCTAGATTGGCTTGTGTTATGCACTCGATTCCCTGTCGATTCCCCTCATTATTAAGATCCCCTTCCATCATTTGGGGGGATGTACAGCATCGCAAGGTGTACATGCGCATGTACTACTGCTTCTTCTTTCTTACTGCCGATGATGTTGATGGTGACAATGAAGATGATGGTGAATATCAAAAGGATGAATATGCCTTATTATTAGTTCCATAGATAAATCAACTCTTATTTAGCCAATCATTGCGAGTTTTTCCTCTTTGCGGGCACATAAAGGAAAGTGCTGTCGATGCAGAAGTGCATAATGTCCTTTTTGTTCTGATTTTGAACCCGCCTCAGCGAATCGTAGTAAACGAGCGTTGGCAACGCTCTCTACACCCTAATGAGTTTTATATTTCACTCAGTCATGTCTAATGGCAACCGAATGTAACTCGCATTGTGATTGCAGACTCTACCTCTCGTCATCAAGCCCCGGAGATCATAAGATAGTCATTCATAGGATACTTTTTTGCTGTATTTTCCAACCACATTTGTTTGGTCACTTCAAGGGTTCCCGCTAGTATCAGGTCCTCGGTCGACTTCGGTCATTCATAGGTTACGTCATTCTACATTCTGTGTGGGCACAGGCCTCTTTCGTTTTCCACGCTTACTTCCAGTATTACACCTCACTACATTACTTTTCACTTCTGGTAAATGACTCCACTTTCGGCAGCTTTTCTTGCATCCGTGCAAAACAAATGCCCTCTATGCTGTTTTTTTCCTAACGGCAGACGTTCCGATGAACAGTTTACCTGATTTAGGACTGTAACCATTATATTCTATTTTCTACCGTATTTCAAGTGCTATTTGTTGGCATACGAATGAGTATGCATCGAAAATTTTAACTGGTACTGCTTACGAATCTGGGATGGGGTGTTACGTTCTCTCAAGTGGTGTTGAGTTTTTCGGAGGTGGAATACTGTGTACCAAATCCCATTTGCCCTCTTTCCTTCACCATTGACATTTTTCCGACATCATGTGACGGGTAATTGTTCCCTTCATCTTACAACGATGCGTGTGGTTGGGAAGCTCACTTCATCGCATGAACCACTCTAGAGTGGATTTCCGTTGCCAATACGCATCCAGGCTTGGGCACAGTGTGGAGGCCACTCTGTTCGCTATTTCGATAGGCTGTTCATAGTGGTCCATTTGATAGGTAGAGCTGTGTCATGCATCTACGTATGACTCTTATCGCTATTGAAGACCAAACCAACTGTTTACTTGAATCCTACAGTGGCCGCGCCAACAATTACAAAGCAACAGTTTTCATTTACCTGGTAGTCAGTCATTTATTTGTGTCCTGTTTTTGCTCCTTCCCCCAGCACACCATGACGCTTGTGAGCTTTCCAAAAAGAAAGCAGTGGCAAAGTCACCATCGCCTTCAAGCTAGTTTGGGTTACACCTTTGGCCGCCGTGCAACGGTCTACATGGTGCCATCTGCTTGGATTTTGTATTGTGCAATGGGAACCTAGCGGACGATGTGCGCATGTTCACAATGTTGCTTTCCAGAATTTCTTTATGTTTTGTTTTATTCCTTCAAATGAAAACCACGTTGCTTAATGCAAATCACTTGCTCTGAGTTCCTCTTTCTCGTGAAATTTATGGGGGAATCATGCGTGATGAAGATCGTTTAGTGTCACTGTCCACCAACGCTGCACCTGACGACCGGTTTCACCCTCGTTCGGGCTCTTCAGGTGGACAGAGTGGGAACTAGGGGGGGGAGACCCGGTGTGTTCAGTAGGACATTGAGCTTCAAAAGAAACGCTTAGCACAGTGGTTGGGAATTACTTGATGCGTTTTGGCGAAGCCGCTACGTATATGGATTACGACGCGTAACCTCAGTATAGGTCACGGTTAACTTTAAAGTTAACTTCTCTTCGGATGCGGTCCCAGCGGTCTGCATGACTGTTGTTTACTTCAAGATAATTCAGAAAATGGCACTGACCTTGGCTTCTGTCGTCACGTCCCTACTGATGTCAATCCAATAGCTCGTATATCAGGTGTCGATGCTGCGCTTGACAGGAAGGCTGAGTATACTCTGCCCTAATCGATCTTATCTATCATGCCATCATCTGCCAATAGCACGCGTCGATGCGACAATGTAAGTCAGCCTGGTCTAACCACCTGAATATTAACCGTGCCTTAGTGTCGCTCAACAAGTTTACTTGTTCATCATCTGACTCTGTTGATCGACCTACGCTATGGCGTTGCTTGCTAAAGAACGGAGTCCCAGAAAAGTACACTGCCATCCCGCGTGCACTCTAGCTCCACATCTCCGGTAGAGTGAGAGTCTATGACAAACTTTCGTCATCCTTCGTTATCAAAACGGGTGTACCATAGAGCTGCCCTATGTCCCTTTTCCTCTTTAATTTTGCACCTGCAGACCACCTGTTGTGAGGACTAGAAGATGGTCTGCAACTACTAATGGGCAAGCGAGCGGCCGACTTAGGTTATATGCTGATGACATTGCCTTACTTGATGATGACTCGCAAAGTATGCAAGCCATTCTAAATCGTTTGGCGATTGAGGCATCTAAGTACACAACCTGCTTCGCCTCGCCGAAGTGTAAAGTGCTGCTCCAGGATTGACACGCCCGTTCCCGTGCTCACTCTTGGAGGTACATAGCTTAAACAAGTGGATAGCTAAGTCCATCTGGCCAGCTACATATCTGCTGGGCGCACTATTGAGAATGAAACTTCTCTCCGCACAGGTAAAGTTCGGTTGGCATTTAGCAATCTGAAACACATATGGCGTCATCGTGTTGTCTCCCTCTTGCTACAGTGTAACGTTCACAGTGCCACCGTTCGAGCGGTGTTGCTATGTGGAAGCGAGTCGTAGCATGGATGACATGCGCCGGCTCACGTCTTCGACGATGTGTGCTTGAGAAGGATCGCGGGTGTGTGGTGGCAGCAACGTATCTGCAGCAGTGGTCAGACCTCGTGTCTTAGGGAATGCGAGTATTGCTTTTGCTGCGTCAGTTAAGATTTCTCGGTCACGTCCTGCGTATATCCGCTGAGCGTTTGCCTTAATGCGCCCTTTTCGCTCTTGCAGGGATTGGCTGGAAGAGATCATATGGCGGCCAGCCGTCCACTTGACGACGACATATGAAATCGTCGACTTTGCGTCTTGCTGTCGTTGGATCCACACGTTTGCCTCGTTGGGGACCAAAGGACGAGGAGCTCCTATGGCTGGAAACAATTCAGGGTACGACACGCAATCGAAACTAGCGGAAGATCTGTGTACATAATTGTTTAGATTCAGATGCTTAATGCTTAACAATTAAAAGATAAAAAATGAAAAAATGGGGCATGAAAATAAAAACAACGAACGTGTTCCTTTCTTCTTGCGGCACACTATCTGAAGCGCGTTGCTCACATTCAGCTAATGTGTCACGATGATCAACCGGCGATTAAATCTGTATTATTCCAATGATTACCATGGTTTTGTTTGGCTCCATGTCTATTCGTTAGACTTGCTAATACTAATACTACGACTACCACTGCCCATCATTTTAACTCGCATACGCCACGTTAGATTATCAGTTTGTTCCTGGAGAACAGGGCGCATTAGTTAAAATGACAATTGGTATCACCTCAAGCAGGCATTGCTGGAGGCCCCAAGGCCTCTTTTCCGTTTACTGTGACTCATCTGACTTGTGAACAATTTCAGAGATTCGATTGGTTTGTCTGGAACTGGCGCACGCATAATGTTTCATAGTGGCTGCACATCTTGTGGGGAAAAAGAATGGAAAATTGCGAGGGGCGTAGTAGCAACAAATTAGCGCGCAAACATTTACGGAAAGAGTTCGTTGTCGAATGTCATTTGAAATCGTTTAGAATATCCCTAGCTCGGGGTGTGGATGCGAGTTTTGCACTGCCCTCAAAGCTGAATGTTCGTTTGCTGACGTTTTGTTGTAAGACTAGGCAACATCGTCAGTGCGGCTTCAAGGTCTTGTTTCGCAGAGCCTCGTAAGCGACTTCCTGATCTAGATGCCTATTGATCAAGTTCTGCCTTGAATACCACACCTCAATAAATTCACGTGTTTACCGGCTTGTGGGTCTTTCGAGGATTTCTACGTGCTCTAGGTCGAACTGATGGTTTTCGGCATTCATATACACAAACATCAAGAACTTTTGATCATGACGGCAAATGGCTAGACCATGTTCATGCAGCCGTGTGGCATACTTTCTTCCTGTTCGTCCTACATAGTATCTGTCACAATTTCGTTAACTGATCTTATAGATTACACCAAATGGTTCCCACTTGCTAAGTTTATCTTTTACTTTGAAGACTTTGCTTCGAATTATCTCTGTTGGTTGGTGGGCAACTTTGACTCCTAAAGGCAAGAAAAGTCTCGCTGCCATTTCGGTGATTCCGATGGTGTAAAGGAACACGGATCGCTTTTTAACTGTTGCATTTGTTGAGGTGCGTTGCTTTGTGTGGGGCCAAGCAGCGCAGAATGAGACCTTTGTTTACGAGTTCCTTTCGCCCTCCTCCGCCTGCCTCAGTTGCGACATGCTCCAGTCTGTCCACGCTCGTTTGAAGAGGGTCAGCACGCAGCTGCGCTTGTAGACTGCTGGATGGGTGCTGCTGTAGTTGAGGATCTGGTCCCTATGTGTTGATTTTCGATGGACCGTCGTTTATAGTGGTCCAGACCTGGTCCTACTAATGAGAACGTTTAAAACTGGTGATCGCCCATTGTTCTCCTCTTCCATAGTGAATTGGATGTCGTCGAACGCACTGTTGATTTGCTCATATGTCTCTTCTAATTTGGAATGTTTGAGGATGACCATGTCGTCCACGTAACTTACCCGTTTCGTGATTGGGAGTGCTACTTGTTCCAGCGTCTGGGTCACTGCTTCGGCTACCATTCCAGAGGTCGGCGATCCCATCAGTGCGCCTATTATCTGTTTGTAGATTTGGCCGTTGAAAATGAAATATGTTATTGGACAAAATCCCAACAACTCCATCATTTGTCTGGCTTCGATTTCGCTACTTGTATGGAATATACACACGCGCCTACAGGTACACCATATGAAGGGCTTTATCTGCCCACTGCTCCATAACTGTGAGTAAATAAAGGATAGGGAATTAAGACAAATGTGCGAAGCTCACAATCCAATGCGCACCCTTGACCGACGTGTGCGTCGTCGAGCTCAGGTGAGGAGGAAATGTGGTATGCACACAAACAGGATTTTTACGCACTGCCGTTTTGACCTCCTGATTTATGTGAGCATGCTAACGTCTCTACGCGTCAATGAAGTCCCCCTTTGCTTTGTATTGTCGTCCCCCCCTACAATTGCTCATGGTTGTGGCATCCGTCCTCAATGTTCCTTGTAAGCTATTTGTGAGCGGCCTGGCACACGTGCCCACAGAGACAACATGGGTAGATTGCGATGCATCATTATCAACGCACACGTTAGCTGGTAGTGAGAACCACCTCACTTATTGTGCCGCAATACGATACAATTACATGGCCGCACAAAAAACGATATCGCAAAATTAAAACAATGTCAGGCTTTGGACGTTGAGTGTTGCTCACTTAATGCTTTGTCTTTTACTATGCATAGAGAATGAGATCTTGACTGTGTATCTACACACCGTGTAACCCCGACGGAATAAGGCTTGTAGGTATGCAGACGACAGCTACAGTCGGTGTTAGAAACTGGATCATTTCGAACTGGCGACTAAGCGACTGGAAGTTGTAACTGTCTGGAAATTTCCCCGGGTTGTCTGTAAAATTCTAATCGAAATTCTAATTCCATTGTACACCTAGGTAACAGGTGCGGATTGTTGAACGGCATGTCGAGTTAAATTGCTTGAGTCGAGCGTCGCTATTTTTGCTTGGCGCTGGTTTCTATTGCAACGCGCAATCGCTCCTTATGTTGTGCTCTTTCCGTTCCTCTAGGTAGCAGCGTTCATCGGTATTGTTTTTTCATAGCTAAAGAAACAGAACCTTTTGCAATGTAAGTAGAAGCTTCCTTACATCCCGATTTGCTTTTTGGAATCACAATCCGGGTTCTCGCTAAAATAATGACTTCGATTTCGTAAAAACTTCAGCGCCGGATATTTCTATTTTTCTCCTGTGAGCTCGTTCCATTTATTCCTTTCCATATTTTCCGGTTTCTTTTTGCCTACGCTAGCATATTAAGTGCCTTCTTTAACCATGGATTCTGTAGACCATAAGGTAATGTCTCCCTTCCTTAGTGTTGTGTCTCTATCCCACCTTTTGGCACATTTATCCTCTTTTGTTGTTCGCTTATCTTGAAGCTGAATTCAATGACCACAGAATTACTTCCGACTACGTAAAGTGCAGCAAGCTCACGTCCTGTCTCCCCAAGGACATACCAATGCACGTTCTCGACGTTATCATTGCGCAGACAGCAAATC